ACCATGGAGATATAAACAGCTTTTTATAAGGTAAAAATAATAAAACAAGGTCTTTGTCTGCAATGATTAGACATGTTTTTTATTATCGTCATTAGTGATTATCTCAATTTCATCTAAAAGAATTGACAAAATCCTACACACTGTGCCTTTTAAAAAAAAGAAGCAGGAACAGCAATGAAATATGTGAAGGAAATGTCATACTGTCTCTTCCAGCGGCTGTGTGGTTTCTGGCTCCCAGCAGGCTTGTTGAGACGTAAGTTGTCATAAGGATAGGCCACAATTGTCTCGCCTCCTTGGAAGTTTGCACCCAACACAAACGGGTAGGTTTTCATCCAGGAGATTATGGCTCTGGTCTCTGTAGCGATCTGGAGCAAAAACGTGGAAGATAAAATTGCACAAACAGGAGGGAAAAAATATATAAGCGCAAGCTCTCTTTATTTTTGGAGATAACTGTGTTTACACGGGAGGAGGCCGAAGAATTTGATCTGCTAACGCACAACTTTACACAAGAAAACCATGTTTTAGAGGAAAATTATTTGGAAAATGGAAACTATTTGCCATTTGCTGTTTAGCAGGTCTTATAGTTAATTATTATTATATAATTATCATTAATAATAATACTATTATTATTATTATTATCATTATTATTATTATTACAATGTAATTACCGAACTATTAGCCTCAAAGTTCTCTGGAATGGGCACATGATGGTTGGGGGTGAGTTTCGGCACCATGCCCTTATCCTCAGCATCCCACAAGATATTATTCAGCTCTGGAAAGTTCTGGAAGATGTCAAAGCCATCCTCTGTGAAGTGTCCGGTGGTCCAACTGCTGAGTTCTGAACCCTGCAGAAACGGGAGAAAAAAACGGGTTAAAGACTAGACTGGTATGAACTGCTGGCTTGGGAGTTAAGATGGAACATGGTTGTGTTTATTTTTTCCCCACTACTGACCAATTCAAAAGCTCTCTTGTGTCCGTCAGGATTGAGTGAGGGCACCAGGTGAATACGTATTCCCTCCACCAGCCGCTGGGCCCTGGGGTTTCTGTCCTTGTATTCTTTGCACAGGTACTGCATGAGAAGCAGGATCATCTCTCTACCCACCGCCTCGTTTCCATGCAGACCTGCTGTGTATCGAAACTCTGGCTCACCTGTGGAGACACCCAAGAAAGGCCGTTACAGTCTGAGCCTGTGAGTTAGTGTTTGGCTTTCAGCTGAACTGGATAAAAAGTATTTGTGTGATGCAACAAATTCAGATCTCATGGTCTGCTTCATGCTCATAGTTTACCTATTTCGTGCTCCGTGGGGTTACCAGAGATGATCATGGCCATGATTTCTCGTCCATTAGAGCTGAGGCCCAGGCTGTAAATGCTGGTGATGTTGGGACACTCCTCATGCACAGACTTCATGAGCTGAACAGACAACACCAAGAAACTTCACTCCATGTTCTCATTAAATGTTATGTAGCCGACCATCAAAGTTTCACACAATGTTGCAATAATGCGCTCTATTTTAGCTAAAATGGAAAAGAAACAAGCCCTCAGCATTAATATATGGGTGTAAATTAAAGTGGAATAAAGTAAATCCAATGTTATCAAGGAGCTTTTAGTGGGTTTCAAAGAAGCAGCAGATGTGTGGAATAATCACCTCAACCATCTCTGAGTAGCTATGATGTTTGAACTTCAGGTAATCCACTGGGGTCACTTCATTCAGTTTGTACAGAGCATCGCCTGAATCTGTGAGGGAAACATGATTAATATACAGCACTTCAGTCCTGTTGGGAGCTTTCTTGTGGGCTCAGGAGCACTCACCAGACAGGGGGCAGCCCAGGACCTCCAGCCTCATGCACAGAGAGCCGTTCCAGCTCTGAGGGATGATTCGAATGTAGCGCGCCACCACTGGCTCTGCAAGCCGATTCATGACAGGGGAGTCTTTGTCGCTGTTTCCAAAAAACAACTGGACAAGAAAGGGGAAAAATAGGAGGTAGGTAAATCAGGGAAAGAGGAAGATTTAGAAGATTATCCAAGAAGCTGACAGTTTCCGGGGAACTCACCCAGTCAGCATACCCATCGTGGATGGTAGTCCATTCTCTGCTGTCGTTGCTGAAGGCCAGGAAGTAGGACGTCACAAAGTCACTCCTGAAACAACACACCATGAGGACGTCATGTTGACCCAAGTAAATGAAAGCATTCATGTATTTGTATGTTTGTCTCTTACTCGTTTGAGGAATCTCGCCCTTGAGTTATGACTCCAGTGAACTCTGTTTCCCTGCGAGCATCTACCTCAAACCAGTGAATCCTGTCCTCAGAGTTTGCACACCACGCTCCACCTCTCATGTTGTCCTCATCATCAGAACCCTGAGGACCACAGATACTACAGGTCATGCTGCTGAATCCTCAGACTGATCGACATTTTCAACATGAAACATACATAAATGAAATGCTAACTTGGATAGAACATGCCGATGTGTGTTTCTGATTTAATAACTCGGTTGCATTAGGATTCTCAAACTAATAGAAGAGACAGGCTCAGCAATAACAGTATTTTCCCCAGTGCTGCCTGTAGCTAGTGATTTTTTTTGAGACTTGATAGTTAGTACTTGAGGGAGCCGTGTACAGTACGTAGATGTTGAGGTACCTGCATGTTGAGGCGTGCTCTCTGAGGAGCAAACCTATAATTAGACATAGAGGAGGCTGAAAGCTGGTCCAGATCAATCTTATGGGACTCCATCCCCAGAGGAGGACATTCTGTCACATACAAAGTCACACACAGTTAAAAACTACATGCACACGTGGGCAAAATTGTTGGTACCCTGCGTATAATGAATGAAAGAAAAACCCACAATGGTGAAAGAAATAACTAGAATCTGACAAAAGGAATAATAAATATATGAAAATGAATGAAAGTCAGACATTGCTTTTCAACCATGCTTCAACGGAATTAAAAATAAAAATAAAACTCATGAAGCAGGCCTGGAAAAAAATGACGGTACCCCTGAAAATAATGTGACCAAACTAAGGGATATGTTAGATCAAGGGCGGCTGTGGCGGAGTGGTTAGGGGAGTCGTCCTGGAACCAGAAGGTCACTGGTTCGATCCCCTGTCCAGCCGTCTCAGTTGTTGTGTCCTTGGGCAAGACACTTCACCCACCTTGCCTACTGATGGTGGTCAGAGGGTCCGGTGGCGCCGATGCATGGCAGCCCCACCTCTGTCAGTGTGCCCCAGGGCAGCTGTGGCTACAGTGTAGTTTGCCATCATCAGTGTGTGAATGTGAGTGTGAATGGGTGAATGTCTGTTAGTGTAAAGCGCTTTGGGGTCCAGAGGGACTTGAAAAGCGCTCTATAAGTTCAGTACCATTTACCATTTACCAAGGTGTGTCCACTAATTATCCTCACAGGTGTCTACAACCCTGTAATCAGTCAGTGGGCCTGTATGGGGCTACAGATACTCACTGTGCTGTTTGGTGACATGGTGTGGACCACATTCAACATGGACCAGAGGAAGAGAAGGAAAGACTTGTCTCAGGAGATTAGAAAGGAAATTATAGACAAGCATGTTAAATGTAAAGGTTATAAGACTATCTCCACGCAGCTTGATGTTCCTGTGACTACAGTTGCAGATATTATTCAGAAATTTAAGATCAATGGGACTGTAGCCAGCCTCCCTGGACGTGGCCACAAGAGGAAAATTGATGACAAATCAAAGAGATGGCTAATACGAGTTGTAACAAAAGAGCTCAGAAAAACTGTTTGCTACGGCCACGAACTTCAAGCTCAAAGAACATCAGCTCTATGTTTACGGAGGGAAAAATGAAGCATATGAAGAACAGAACACTGTCACTACTGTGAAACATGCAGGAGGCTCTGTTCTGTTCTGGGCCTGCTTTGCTGCATCTGGCACAGGGTGTCTTGAATCTGTGCAGGGTACAATGGAATCTCAAGACTATCAAGGGATTCTGGAGAGAAATGGGCTGCCCAGTGTCATAAAGCTTGGTCTCAGTTGTAGGGCATGGGTCTTACAACATGATAATGACCCAAAACAGCTAAAAACACCCAAGAATGACTAAGAGGGAAACATTAGATTGCTCTGAAGTGGTCTTCTATGAACCCTGACCTAAATCCTATTGAGCATCCTTGGAAGGAGCTGAAACATGCAGTCTGGAAAATACACCCTTCAAACCTGAGACAACTGGAGCAGTTTATTCATGAGGAGTGGAACAAAATATCTGCTGAGAAGTGCAGAAGTCTCACTGACAGTTAAAGAAATCATTTGATTGTGGTGATTGACTCAAAAGATTGCGCAACAAAATATTAATCAAGGGTACCATCATTTCTGTCCAGGCCTGTATCATGAGTTTATTTTTTTTTATTCTGTTGAAGCGTGGTTGAAAAGCAATATCGGAATTTCATTTGTCAATTTTTATAGAATTTTTTAATCATTATTACTTTTGTCAGATTCAAGTTATTTCTGTGACCATTATGTTTTATTTTTTTTACTAAACGAGGAATACCAACAATTCTTTACACGTATGTAACATGTTTGCAAAGTTTGAGTGTATTTTTCAGATTTGAATACATGCCGACTTACTCTTTGGCTCTTTAAAAACACGTGGTCTGTTCCTGGCTCGTTCCTCCGCCTCCTTCAGTTTCTGCGCTCTTTCTGTCAGAGGATAAAAAGCCTTAATGCAAAACAATTTTCTTTGTATTAGTTGAATTATTATTTCTTTCTCTGTCCATAAAGAATCTAAGAATGTATCAACATTTTTGCTAATTTCTCTTGTAAAAAATTCCCAAGAGGATTTGAAGTGCTTTAGCCCAATATGTCCTGATGCATCTCAGTAATCCAGGTAAAAAATCAAAAAGAAAAAAAATTGTATAGGTCTTCTGGACGGGTTCTTCTCTAATGAAACGTTTCGTCTAATGTTTGCCTGAAACTCTCAGACTGAAGAAGTCTCTTGGAGGAGAGACAAAACGTTTCATTAGAGAAGAACCCGTCCA